TGTGTCTTGAAGAAGGATTAACAGTACTTTACATAAGACTTAAGAATGCCTTGAACTGCGCAGCAGCGAGTTGAGATGTAGTAGTGTTTCAAGGATTCAATGATGCGGCAACTCGAATACAGTTTCCCTAGCACTTTGATCCCGACCTCGATCCTCTCCTAGAGACTCGGAGTACGTCGCTACTAGGAACTGGCAGTGCCTGCACCACCCTTCGAGTTTGAATTGAATGATTTACCTCCATCCTTATAGTTGTCCTTTCCTGGAGACTCGGAGTGCGTCGCAGCAGTGCTTCAGGTATCATAACCCTTCGAGTTCAAATTGAATGATTTAGAAACGTTGAATGTCGGCGGTTGGCTATCGTCTCATTCACTGTACGTGTTCGAGCTTGCATGAAAGAAAAATGAGTAGTAGATGATTAGCTATAGACCGCCGAATCAAGCCCAAAATGCCCTGTGAATTAATTTCTCGCCCCGAATCAAAAATCTTGCGATCAAAGTTGATGCTTTTTTGATTCCGGCTAATCGGCACCTTATACTCCTACTTCCGCCGGATGAGACCAAAAGGAAATATTCGTGCCGATTTTGATTCCGGGGGTTACAAGCTGAACTTGAATCACTTGTATGAAATATCTGAATGTTGATCCAGAAATAGCTAACAGATTCGGGGAAAGAGACTTGGGATGATCTAGAGAGCTATCATTTCCGAAGATACCGCTAATTGGACCTGGTCTTAGTGTAATAGAACGAATGTCGTTCTTTGCGACGCCGAGAAGGCTGGACATGTCTGTTTCTATTTCAACTTCGGTCTTGGCTTCGGGATAGTTGGTTTTGTCTTAACAGACTGAGCTGTGACTGTCCGGTTGGTTCGGTGTCGGATGTCGATGTCCATGCATTGGCGATTATTGATGTTGAAAGATCCTGCTGCTGTAGTGGGATCAGAATGATCCTTGAACCGGGATGGATGAGGACGTCCGGGCAAGTACTTCTCAGACTGGAGTACTCGGGAGATAAGGAGGTACATCGTTTGTGGGTATACAAAGCAAGTAGCTGACTCCGAAGTCGGAGATAATGACGGGCAGAAGATTGCATTGAAGTCAGGGTCGGGGTAATTTAACATGTCTGCATTAATCATTCTGATCCTCTGTCTTTGTCTGTGTCGACGTCTGAATCCGTCTGATTCGGGACCATTAACTATGTGGTCTTTGTCGTTGCAATAGCGGATATTTGGAGGATGAAGGGGACAGAGCACAGTGGTTCCCAAAGTTACAGCAGAATCTCTTGAAAGCAACAAGCGGCAGAAGGCGTAAGATGCATAATTATAACCTTGTCCATACCTATCGCGCCCCGTGACTAGTACTGATTGATTAAGCCCTCAATCTCATCAATGATACCGGTTTTGTCCAGAGAAGCACGGGGGATGAATACATAGCACTCTATAATAAATAAGAATAGGTCGAGTAGATTGAGTTGATTGTAGCGGTGAGGTGAGGTACATTACATAGTCGTATTCGTTTTCCCGAGTCATGTTCAATGCGGCGATATCCGAGTCGTAGCGGTACCGCTGGGGATGATCAAACGATCACAGGTATCATCAGGAGATGAGGAGTTGCAAGGCCGTTAGAATGATGAGCCAATGAGGAAAAACTGCGATGGAAGATAAGAATAAGTGTTAGTATATGTACGGGATGTGTGATGTGTACACTGGATTAACTTGGAGCACCCCTGCTGTAACGCCGAGCTGACCCTTTGGGCTCGCGTTTCGTCCGGGCTTGTCTTGTCTCGTGAGTAGACATCTCGAGGGATCATCGATGATCAGGTTGCTGGATCCAAGGTGGGCTGTAACTTATTGAATGCGAAGTAATTCCTTTTCGTTTCAACTCTACGCGGTGTTATCGTAGCGGGGCGGGTGATCAACAGCTCACCTTGATGAACAACTGGAGGCCGTAAAAGAGAAATTGCAATTAAGAATAAGTAACACCGATTTGACTAGCCACGCCTCGCTTCTCCTTGCGGATTCTGGAATGGAGGGAATAAGCATCTCGAGGTGGATCAAGCTGTTGTTGAAGTGGGTTGGGTTGTTGTGGATGTTGGTTTTATGCGAACATGCGATATCCGGGTGGGTTGGCTCGTGCGTGACGGAGTTACACGGAGATGGAGAAAAATCTGCATGATACTGAGACGAGCACTCTCCTCCAAGTCTTTTCTAGTACACTGTCTGATTGTTGGGTAGGTACTGATCTTGGTTAGACCTTCGTGGTTGAATATGGTTTTTTTTATACTCGGCGCCAGTCCACCGAGTTCCGTTGCTGTGTTGCTATATCCGGATGACTCAGAAATGAAATGCGAATATAAAGAAGTCAATGTAGTCAATGTCATGTTCTTAACCTCATGTCATTCCAACCCAGTGCATCCACCCTCTCTCTGCTCAAAACAAACGACCCTCCATCCAACATTTCTCTACTCGTCTCCTCCAGAAACGCTGTATCGTCTTACGCATCTACACTATCCTCCCAAATCACCTCTCTCAAAACCGAACTGAGTTTGTTGTCCCAAAAACACACCGAAGCATGCTCCCACGTACAAAACTACAATACCATCCTCCACCCAATCCGTCGTCTTCCCCCAGAAGTCCTCGCTGAAATATTCATATCCACAAGCGCAGATCTGACAAATCCTCTTTGTATGAAAGAACCTCCCTGGATCCTAGCTCAAGTCTGTCACCGCTGGCGCTCCATCGCACTCTCCCTCCCAAAACTCTACTCTTCCCTCGCTCTCCGTCTCGATTTACGTGCTACAGAAGCTTCAGCAAAAGCAGTATCGATTCTCGCTGAATATCTTGTTCGTTCTGGGTCGTATCCTTTGACTATATGTGTATTCTCCGACTTTACACCAAATCACCCACTTCTTTCACTCTTGTACAGTTACTCTCATCGGTGGAAAAAGGCGTTTCTTTCTTTATCCCTAAAAGGGTTTCATGCGCTTTCAGGGTTGGTCAGGGGTGGAGTACCCATATTGGAAGTGTTGAGTATCTATGCCCGGATACAGCCCGGGGAAACGAGGCGGACGTGGAATGCTACCAAGGTGGTCGATGCATTCGAGTATGCACCGGCGTTGCATACGCTATATGTTAAATCTGTCCCTTTCCTCGGGACGTCCTTTGTGCTACCTTGGGAGAAGATTAAAAAGTTTCATTGGATAACCAACTCGGATCCTTCGCAGGCGCAGGTACTTGTGCACGAAAGGACTGGGGATAGGGAATGGGCTTGGAAAGCGAGGAATGAAGAGCTGGTTGGGATGTTGAGAAAAATGTCGGTATCTGGGAGGTTGAGGGAGTGCGTGTTGGATTGTTGGTACGACCAGGACCTTGACCTTTCACCTTCCTCCCCGGTGTATCTCCCCCACTTGGAATCACTCACACTTATGTATACCGGTCCGCCGCAACACCGTACAAATCCACTCAATCAGCACCAGAACCCCCAACCTCCGCCGAACGAGTCTCACGTAACACAAATCCTTCAGTCTATGACAACTCCCTCCCTTCAAACACTACACGTCTTTCCAAAAGTGAGGCAAGGAGACGCACAGGCGTTGGTTGGCCTAGCCGAGCGGTCACGCTCTCCTTTGTCTTTGTCTCCTCTAGAAAGAGACGGCCATGACAAAGCGGAACGATGCAAAATAACCCGTCTAGGCCTCCACCGTACACCCAGTCTCGGTCTCGTCTCAGGTCCCGGATCTGGATCTTCACCTTTATTTAGTTCCAGCCCAACGAAGATTGACGAAGTGGTTCTAATGAGGAGAGCCTTTTCACATCTCGAAGTGTTGGCGTGTAAACTTACGGAAACGCTTTTAAGGGGGATGGTTCCCTCGGAAACGTGTGGGTACGGAGACTCAGAGGAAGGAGACCCGGTTTTACCCTCGTTGAAGGTGTTGAAGGTGTTTTCGCAGCCGGATGCAGAGGTACAAAGGTTGTTGGTTGGGATGTTGGAGAGTCGGAATGGAGTGGAGGCTGGGATTGGGGACGAATCTGATTTTGACGATGAGGACGAGGAAGAGTCTTCCGAGGGGGAGGTGTCTATGGAAGGAGAGATGATTATAGCCGAGGCTGAGGCAGAGACTGAGGACGGAATATCGATGGATATAGATCCATCCGCGTCCATGGACAATTCGATTTTGGCCTCTACTTTAAAGTCTCTCTCCACTCGTGCCCAATCGCTACAGAGACACCGAGAACGCCAAACGTACATCCAAACTCAAACTCGTTCCAGTCTCGTTCCCCGTCCACTCGAACAAATATCCATCTCAAACAACTTCACGTGGGCCGATTCGGGGTTGAAAGCGAGATTTGAGAGGTTGATTGAGAAGGACTCTTCAAGGTCTGGATCTCCTTCATCGAGTGGGGGAGGGTCATCGTCAAAGTATAGGACGTATAGGCTGGTCCAACCTTTATCCGGGTAGGAGAGAAGACGCCTACATGACATGACGCCCACAGCTGCATATGATTCGATATGATATGAACAATATGATATGGCACTTGCGAGCATTATCAGTATGAACTCTTTTGGATTCTAGTTTCGTTTCGTTCCGTTTGTAGCATTATCATGTGTATAACACCCCAACTTACTATCATACAAGCACGTACATATATAGTAGATACCAAAGTTACAGTACATGTATATATTTTGTTGCGAGTTGTAAAGCTCGACGTGTAATCCCACTCAAATTAAATAAGCACTAGCAGTGACCCGTGCGATGCACGGGAGAGTAAAGGGCCTCGACGCCGCCCTCCCTTCGGTCGGACGGCGTCTCGGCCCCGTGCAAGCGAGCAAGTGATGTCAGCTTAAGAGTAAGCAGCCAATCAGAATGCGTCTTTGTCTTTGACATTTGGCAAACACGAACAAACAGATGTCTTTTGTAGTGTAGAATATTCTACTCTCCCTTTTTGCTCTCATATGGATCCGGATCTTAACAAGTAAAAAGAGGTATCTCACCATTCAAGTTAAGAGGTCTAACCAGGACTCGAACCTGGGTTATGGGAAATAGATTAGAATCAAAATCCCATGTGCTAACCACTACACTATTAGACCAGACAACCGAATAGTAGATGGAGGAAATTTTTCCTGAAGGCCGATGAGCAAATATGCGTAAATACGAGCACAGCATTTTCAAAGCTTTTCCTCCGAGTCTCATCGGATTCGATCTCATCTGGCGAACGCGTCTTGACTACGGATCTCTACAGCGAAACAAACATATACCATGTCATGTATGTAGGCTCTATCTAGTAGCAGGACAGTCAAATCTGACGTCATTCACACTGGCAAGCTTGACTGGCAGGTTTGCGGATCTAGGTTGGACAAATTGGCCAGTGGGTGGTCAAAGCTCTTCTTTTAGGAAATCTTCAATTTTGTCGTAGTCATTCGAGACCTGAATTCTCGTGACAAGAAAAGAAAAGGTTGATGAGTCTGTAGGTGGTTGTAGTAGATAATCGTCGGTCAGTACTCTTTCCAGCGCCATTGAACTCGAGGCGTTGCATATCGACCAAAATATCTCACCCACGCCATCCTCAGTCATTCATACTAGTAGATTCTGGAGGTTCGTACCAGATACCGTGCTTTGTTCTCGAATCCTCTATTCCAATCAAGCCGTACTGGACTCGCGATTGACAATGTCTCGTTTTGGATTCACGTGTTGATGGAAAATTTCCCAAATTATGCTTTTTCAAGGTCAAGTCGGTGTTGTGGCGTAAAATGCCGATCGAGAATACTGTTAAAATCATTGTTCAAGCACGCTCTTGGTCGGTTAGTGGCTTGCGTGCCACGGGTTTGAAGCAGGTAAGCTTGGACATGGCGGGCGTATTTAAGGGCAACAGAGATGCGATATGTTTCTCTATCTACTACTCCCAACTTCACTCAACCAAGTAACTTCAAATCCGAAACTTCTCTTCCGCAATGTCATCTTTCGAGTCCACTAAACCCAAGTCCAAGTCCGAGGCCGTCAATCGCGTCCACCGCTACCTAGCTAACAGAGCTCAGAGGATAGCGAGCGAAGGCAAACTAGACTTGGTTTGGCTCACGCCCCAAGTCCTTGATGTTGACTCACATGCGAACGATCAAGAAGAGGTTGACGAGAAGTGCGTTCTTTTTTTTTTTTCTGTTGAGGCGGCTCGATCTAAAATCATCCTTTCCCTTTATCGAACCCGTAGTTTCGTCGCGCCCGGATCAAGCCCATACGAAACGTTACTGGACATACCCACTCCTACGTTGACGTATGAGAGGGTACTGGATCTTTCAGTGCCTGCGCCTGCACCTGCACCTGTGGGGGTGGTACCCAGGCCGGGACCGGTTCCTCCTCGTCAAGACAGGCGCAATCAGTCTACTCAGGATCTGGCAGATCCAAATCGTCGTCGGGTCCAGGTTCATCCCGGCCATCCTTATCCACTTCAAAACTCCAATCCTGCTCCCAGACCTCAGGGTCTTCCTCGACACCGTGCACCCCCCGATTCCAATCCTGTTCCCAGACCTCAGGCTCTTCCTCGACACCGTACTGATGGTCAAACTCTCGGGATGACTGCACCCCAACCTCCTTTGCATCGTGTCTATCCTCAACCTTATCCTCCTCAATACCATTCTCACAGTTCCATGTTAAACGCCCAGGCTCACACTCATGCCCAATGTAATCACGGTCATTTACTCGGAGAAGACGAAGATGCCCAATACAAGCGACATTTGCAGAGCTCGCTTGGACTTGTGACAAACGCCGATCCTGGTTTCCCGAGAGGCATGGAGGGTGGTATGGTAGGAGGTTCTGGGTCGGCGTACCATGCTCCTAACGTACCTGCGTTCTCCCATGGACATGGCTACACTCATGGCCGTGTCCAAGGTAGTCGTGGTCATGGTTATCGTCAAAGTCACCTTGGACAAGATGAAGATGCTAATTTTAAACGAAATCTGCATAACAGGATGGGAATCACGAATGTGAATGCGAATGATGCATCCTTTGGTGGCTATTCCGGTGCTATGGGATCGAGTTCGATGGGACGTCGTTAATGCGGGAGTATGACTTTGTGCTGATGATCAATTTGCATTTTTATAATAATTTCTTTCTTGTCTGGTTGCTACCTAAATACTCATCCTCCACTCCTTTACTTGATACTGTTTCTCTTTTATTGTTCATGTTCTGATAATACCATAGAGTGGTTATATGAACAGATACTCGCATTCATGTAGACTATTTGCTTGGAATAATCAATTTCTTTGCTTTTCATTATTCATAAGGCTAAGAGCCGCCTTCCAAATATTGTCGCCGTTCTTTCGAACTAACAGCCCCCTCCACGATCTACCCTTTGTGTTAGAATAACCTCACAAGTTTCGTGCCAAATATAATCACGCTCTGTTTAGTGTTCACTGCCCACCTGAACCATCTGGGACTTTTCAAGAGCCAATGTCTATTGACGTTCATTAAATTTCTTGCTGGCTGCGTTGAACGGGTGAACACGATCAACGCTCAGTCCTATACATACATACATACATACATACATCGCGAAGGCGAAATCTCAGCAGCTTCCTCATATTTATTCCCTCGTGGAACTATGGTCTATTTCACCTTCTCAACATGACCGATTTACATCGTAAAGTTGCTAGGACCGTGAAAATGTTCGACCATATCACTTGTTACACTATTTACAGACGATGAGTGGAAGACTTGAGATAGAGATGATGGAAGACCCGGTAAATTGACCAGTCAACTGACCATTCTTCGGCATTGAAGTTTGGCCTGGTCACGTGGAAATTTTTACATTCACAACTGACTAGGCTGCTCAACTGCAGGTTTGCGGATCTAGGTTGAATAAATTGACCGATAGGCGGTCAAAGCCTCTCGCCTAGGACCCAAAATCTTCAATGTGGTTGTGGATAGTGACTCATGGTAAGCAAAGAAATGGCTGTGGTAGTTGTAGGCACCCGTTGGTCAGCGCTTTTTTCGCTGACCCAGTGGCCAAACTTGAGATGTTGAACCAAGACATCTCACCCACGCTATCCGCGGTCATTCATGCTAGCCAGATTCTGGAGGTTCGGACGAGATACCGTGCTTTGTCCTCGAATCCTTTACTCTATCAAGTTGTACTGGACCCGCGATTGGCAATATCTCGGGTTTTGGATTCACGCTTTGATGCCTTGAATGGAAATTTTCCCAAATTATGCATTTTCAGGGTCAAGCCGGTGTTGTGGCGTAACATGCCGACGCTGGCAGATCGAGAATACCGTTAGGAATTATTGTTCGAGCACGCTCTTGGTCGGTCGGTGGCTTGCAAGCTACAGCTTTGAAACAGAGAAGCTTGGACATGGCGGGCGTATTTAAGGGCAACAGAAACGCGATATGTTTCTCTATCTACTACTCCCAACTTCACTCAACCAAGCAACTTCAAACCCGAGGTCTTCCGCAATGTCATCGTTCGAGTCTACTAGACCCAAATCCAAAGCCGTCGATCGCGTCCACCGCTACCTAGCTGACAGAGCTGAGAGGATAGCGAGCGAAGGGAGACAAGAATTGATTTGGTTCCCGCCTCAGGTTCTTGACGACCTACATGCGAATGATCAAGAGGAGGTTGACGATAAGTACGTTCTTTTTTCTTGTCCTCTTGATCTCGATTCGTACTCAATTCATTCTTTCCCTCTAGCTTCTTCGTGCCTGAAATAGGCCCACACGAAATGGTACTGGACATACCTGCACGTACGTTGACGTATGAGCAGGTACTGGATCTCTCAGTGCCTGCGCCTGCACCTATGGCGGTACCTGGGCCGGGGCCGGTTCCTCCTCGTCAAGGCGGATATAACCAACCTACTCAGCATCCGGATCCAGATCGTCGCCGGGTTCAGGTTCATCCTGGCCATCCTTATCCACCTCCCAACTCCAATTCTGTTCCCAGACCTCAGACTCTTCCTCGACACCATGCACCTCCTACTGATGGCCAAGCTCTCGGAATGACCACACCGAGTCGACCTCCTGTACATCATGCTTATCCTCGTCCTTATCCTCGTCTCCATGGTCATCATCCCCCCACCTCTACGTTAAACGCCCAGGCGCACATTCATGCTCAACATAATTATAATCATCTACTCGGAGAAGACGAAGATGCCAAATATAAGCGACTTGGACTTGCGACGAATGCCGACCCTGGTCTTCCAAGAGGCATGGGCATGGAGAGAGGTATGGTAGGAGGTTCCGGGTCGGCGCACCGTGCTCCTAACATCCCTGCATTCTCCCATGGACACGCCCATACTCACGGTCGAGTCCAAAGTAGTCGTGTTCAACCGGGTTATCGTCAAGGTCACCTTGGACAAGACGAAGATGCTAATTTTAAACGAAATCTGCATAACACGCTTGGAATCACGAATGCTAATGTGAATAATGCACCCTCTGGTGGCTCTTCGGGTGCTATGGGACCAAGTTCGATAGGATTAGGGAATCAACGTCGTATAACACGGCCGTGGGAGTTGTAGGACTCGGTAACTTTGTGCTGATCAATTTGCATTGGACTCGGACTTTATTGAATAGTTCTAGTAATTTCTTTCCCGTCTGACTGCTCCTTGGTAGATTCCGTTCCTTACTTGATATTGATTCTCTTTTCTTGTTCATGTTCTGATAATACTGCAGAGTGATTATATAAACAGATACTCGCATTCATCATGTATATAGGCTATTTGCTTGGAATAAGCAATTTCTTTACCCTTTATCGTTTATAGGGCTAAGAGCCGCCTTCCAAATACTGATCAATGCAGTACCAACTGCCCTCCACGGCTGACTCTTTATGCTAGAATAGATCTCGTGCCGAATCTAATCACGCTCTCTTCAAAGTCGACTGCCTGTCTGAAGCATCCAAGTGGTCTCGGTAGCGGTCCGGCACCACGACTGTGTTCTGCGTTGGAACGGGTAAACCGTTCTCACAGTCGACGTTGTTCTCTCCAGTGACGCGTCCTTCCCTCTGCCATGCACCGGTGTCTTCAAGTGCCCGAAATATTGTGTATCATATTCGAATTCTTTGGCCACGACAACGAGGATAAACTCGGTACACTAGCCAACCTTGCAATTA